ACAAAATAATGGTGGGCAGGAACAACAGTGTGTAAATAAGCAGCACCAGGACCAACATTCCTACAATTCTTCGTTTTTCGTCAGAGTGGACAGAGATGGAAGCAGACAGGGCTTTGAGGGTCCCACCAAGGAAGAATATGAACAGTGGGAGAGGAAGGAGGAGGAGGATGCCACTGATGGTTGCTGAGTTCCTTGCAGCAATAAAAAGACAGGAAATGACAGGAGGAAGGGCCCAGACCACAACACAGACCAGCACAGAGATCTTGATAGTTCGTCTGAAGCGGTACCACAGTGGGCAGGCGATGACCAAATACCTGCAATACAAGACAGACACAGCTTCAGAATGATATCATAATACAATGGCTGAACACAGAAGTAGGTACACACATACTGGATAGACAGACAGCTACCTTTCCAGGGCGATGCACACCATGAAACCAATACTGACCATCAGACAATAGAAGTAAATTGAAAGTAAGATAAATCGACCACTGAGTATCCAGTCTTCAGGTAGCACCCAAGCAATCATGCAGCAGAGCTGAATGAGGTCGGTAATGAGAAGGTTGATGACGTAGATTGGAACAACATGATCATCTTTCACCTGCAAGAAAACATTGGTGCACATTAGAAAGCAGCTGTGAACATGAGGTCCACCTCCTCCCAGATGTGTCATTTTGCTGTGCCCAGAATTTGTTATCAGAGCCATTTATTCACTTTTCATCACGTTCTGTTTTGTGCTGTCTGAAATATCAGAAAAGACACACAGTCACTGACCAGGTTTACATGCACAAAATATTCAGTTTTTTGCCTTTATTCTGAAAAGACAATAGTCCTACTAAGGTCTTTACATGGATAATATAAAAGGATATTCCACTAATATTCATGTTTACATGCAGCCGTGCATACTCTGATAAACATGCCCGTGGAACATGGGGTCACTCCTCAAACCTGAATAATACCCTCATATCCCACATGTTTTATTTGGAATATGCAAATTTGGGAAAAGGCCTAATTTGGAATATCCAGACAGAATATGCTGTTTTCATGACCAGCATCAAATTCCAAATATTGGCATATTCAGATTAATAATGGGAGCTTTATGTGCACTGTAACTATGGAGTAATATTTTTCCTGTGAATGTATAAATCATCACAATAATTCATCCAGTCCCCTGACACCTGGCCCCTAACCTAGATCAAGATTTTGGCACAGACAGTAAATAAATATGGTAAAAGTAAAAATATACATACCAGAGAACGAACAGCATAGATGGCCACAAGGGTCAAAGGAAGGCCGATACACATGATTATGATCGTCACCACTTTCATGATGAATTCAACTGGTTTATAACCTCCATAGTCATAGGTATAGCTGCTGTTGTTGTCCTGTGAAGTGTTGTTAATGTTGACTTCTTCCATTCTTCAGAGTGAAACCTGTTGTTTAAGAGATGAGGTTATGGAAATGGATCATGTTGCCTAATATCTGCCGTTATCTAGCAATATTGCTAAAGCTGTGTCGTGCAAGGTCACACAAACACAAATACAGTAAGCTTCCATCTAATAGTTAAAAAAAGCTCAATATTTGTTGCATTGTCTGCTAATATTAATTAATCAAATTATACAGTTTCAAATGATTATGCTTCAAAGTAAAACCTAGTGTTTAAGAGATCAAGTTATAGAAAGGGACCATGTTGTTCAGTGATATCACTGAACAGTTTACACTATACCCACACAAAAAAAAGAAAGCCAAGCTCAATATTTGTTATATTTCTGCTCATATAATTTAATTTAATAATACAGTTTCAGGTACAACATGTTCTGGTTACAATATTGTATACGCTGCTGTGAGGTCTTTTCTGCAGCCACAGAACACTGTTCAGTTGTTTCAGTAATTTAATGTAATGTTTAATGTTCATTTATACTGGTTTAGGACGTTTTGACCGTCTTCTTTACTCGATGCTCCACTACTTGTTGAATGCCCCTCTGCCCTCTGATTATGGAGGAAGAGGTTCACATGGACGAATAATCTCCAATGTCTTTTATGTGCTGATTCATGCTCTTATTTTACAGAAACAACATTAACTGAATCATAAACTTACTGTATCCTGTCCTGGGTTACATAACATATAATCAACAGAAAACTCTTCGAGCTAAGTGGACTCACTTCCTGAAATGTCTACGCAGTCGTGATAATTTCTGTTCTGTCTTACAGTTTTAATTAATTCAAAACTCTGTAGCTTTCTGCATGTTTTTTTGGAACTTTTTCATCCATTTTATCAAACACATCTTTGTTACACTGTTACACAATCACTCTCTCTTTTAATAATTTAAAGAAAAAGACAGATAATAATCCAAATGAAATAAAACACAGTTGGTTTGAACACAGTATTCTGTACTCTGCAGTTTTAAAAAAATATTTCAAATAATCTCTACATACAGGAAAAAAGTAATGTCACAACATTTACCTTTGAAAGCTGCAAGACCACACCAGAATAAGTCCTCTGTACCAATGTGTGATGCCTCCAGGTGCTTTACAATAAATATGGTAAGTCAGGAAATGCTGTGGGTTCCTGTTAATCTACACCTCCTCTTCTAAAGAAGATAGCACAGAAGTTGTCAGCCACTAACATGCAATGTATGTAAAGACAGTGAAAATATAATTTTAAATTCTTAAGTAATCTCGCAATTTTTTTTTTATCCAGCTGATTTTTACTCCTCTTCAGCATAGAAATAAAGGGGAAAAAAGACAGTTTTGCAAACTCATGTTTTTATTTGTGTTTTTTCATGTCCATTACAATGGACGCCACAACTAAATGAGCTTAAAATGTCATAATGTAATAATGTAATAACTAATCAGTTATGACCTAAACACCTGGAACTGGATTTCTGCATAACATACACATGAACTTGTATGATTGTGGGTAATGTAACTTCAAGAAATCTGTTTTGCCTTCAGTAATCTATCATGGAACTTCAAAATGCATTGCCATACTTTTTAATATAGAAAGCTAACCATGTAACAACTGATCACACATTTACAAAGCAACTGGAAAAGCATCAGCTTGCTGGGTATTTTCATGTAATCACTCATTTACGATGAGCAGCCTTGAAGCAGTTTCGGTGTGGCACAAAGCACAGGTGGATGTTGCATTTGTCACAAAAGATGTGCATTTTTCCTGTGCAGTATGGCCTCTTGCGTCTGGTGGCCTCTGTCTTATCATCATAATTTGGCATGTGGTGAACCATGTCATACTGCACTTCAGGCAGAGGCCTTGCATCCTGAACTTATGGTCTGTGATGGACATGCTGTGGTTCCGGAGACATACTGGGTCTTCCACGTTTAGCCGTGTTGGGATTCACAGGACCACAGATGTTTTGTCATTTGGTCAAATCTAAACTGGAGATTTAAAGGCTTTTTCCTCTGCATGCTCTTTGTCTTTCAAACAAAGAGAGCTAGGTGACACCTATCTCCACAGGAGGTCTCACCTCACACCTCAGTGAGACACAAGTCTCACAACTTGATTGGACAGTACTGTTACAGTGACATGCCCCTCTGTGATGCCACCAAACTCTAAGCTAAGCCCTGCTCCTTTCAAGCCTTCTCTCTCTTGCTCTAGCTGTTGAACAGCTAACACCTCTTTCCGGCTGGGCCTGGAACAGCAGAGGCCCAGACCCTTGCTCCATAGCCCCAAACCACTAAAGGGAGGGCAACTGATCACAGACTCTCTTGCGAACACAAGGTTTGCAACTAGCTTTCCAGCAACAAGGAACTAAGTGAGTGAGCACCCAGCGTCTAACTCTGCTAAACCCTGAACGACCAGCTTCCTTGGAGTTTCACCTTTGGAACAAAGGATCCAACAAAGACTGCACCTGGAACCATGTTCCCAGCCTTCTTCTGCTGGCTAACAAAGCAGTACACCACCAAGTGACTCTTTCTCCCATCCATTCAAGGATCGGTAACGTAACAACTGGGCATAGCTTATCACCGCTTTACAGTCTAAGCAAGACTGTTTAACTTGTTGTATGTGATTTGATGCTGTTTACTGAGTTATTCTTGTGATTGTTGGCAGTTAGGTCATTGATTAGTTGGCTTCGCCAAAGCTAAGTGTTTAGTTTGCTAATACTGTTCACAAACAGATTCTTGCACACAACTAAACAATCTCTACACTAATCCAGACTGTTTGCAACACATATCACATTCACATAGACTCATTAACAAATACGCTTTCACCAGAGCTACACCCAAACAGGCATCTCAAAGTTCCCGCTTCTTTTCCTTTGTCTTTGTCCTGAGCACACGGTCAGACAAACACCTCTCCCGACCTGAAGCAAGCCTTGATTTGGCCATTTTGGTAGTTCTCTGTTGTCAGCCATTTTGTTTTGTAGGCCAAACGGCTCCTTGGTCACCACACTCGCCTTTGTCTTTCTCTTTTCTCTTTCACACACACACACACAAATATACACACCAAGCAAGTCCGCGTCCAGACCAAAATATGGAGTGTGGACTGGTAGCTGGAGAGGTGCCAGCGCCTGTCATGGGCAGCCCACTCTGACATCTCTCCACTTAGTGCATGGAAAGGTCCAGTTTGTGCATGTGTGTTTTCGGACCTGTGTGTGATTGACAAACAGAGTGAAAAATTGAATATCCCCGAGGGGAAATTCAATTTTTCACTCTGTTTGTCAATCACAAAGTATATAAAAAAAGTAAAAAAATAATTTAATTATTAATCAAACTCCAAATTAATAGTTTAGCGTATTTTATGAGACTGATATCTTTAACTGGCTATCATTTTTCCCTTTACGGGAATGGTGCCCCACGAGGTGATTTAATGTTAATTAAGTCACATTATTTAACATGATTATTAATTATTAATAATAATTATTAATTATTTCCTATAGCCAATTAAATCCCTACATATTTGGTGCCTCTTGGTGAGACCTAATATATTGATCCTAACATATCTGGTGCCGCCGTGTGAAGCCCGAATTTATGTTCCCAACATTTTGGTGCCTCCGTGTGAAGCCTAATGTGTTGATCCCAACAAATCCGAACAAAACTGACTTTCTGTAATGCATTTCAATGAACGTCCAGGCAGAGAATGTCCGAGTGTATGGGAATGGCTATATGCACTGTGATTGGCTCATCGCGTTTGAGGGCGGGACTTAGCCATAGGTCAATTGTGAATGCTCTCTCATTTTCTTCTTACATTCTTCGTTTACCCAGATCTTTTTTTTAAAAATCTGAATACTGCATCTTTGTGCATGTTTTCATATGGTTTTTTTTACACAATCACATACTTATAATTCTCCCAATTTAAAGGAAAAACACGGTAAACACACAGTATTATGTACAGTGCAATGCTGTCAGCTTCTTAAATGTTGCATAATCATCTCCTGACTGTATCGTTTTTAATAATCTAATGTCACAAAATTTACCTTTAAAAGCTACGAGACCCCACACAAATGAGTTCCCTACATCAGTGTCTCCTTGGCATCCAAATGGTCAACAATAAATATGGCAAATTGTAACATGCAGTTGGTTGATGATAATCTACACAGCAGACATTATTTCTTACAGAAGAGAGAAAACAGGGCCACCATATCTACACAGTGCGTCATGACAGTCCAGCACCGCCTGTTAAACTTTGCTAACCCTCTGCCTCTGAATAGATATCAAAGAGTGCTTGTAGAATGTTGTACATTTCCTGCTAATAAGACAGCGTTGTTTTATCATGTCTTTATCTTCCTCTGATAATTCAACTGAAAACGCAAAGCTTCTTTTCTCAGTAATGTCCTGAAAACACCCTGCGACACTTACAGATGTGACAATGACACAAGTCTGTTAAAAACAGGTCTCACGGCTCAGAGATCGAACATTGAGAAGTGCCATACCTATTTTTTCCTATCCAGTCTCTGTTAGTGCAGGACGTCGAACATTCTAAGGACTTAAGTGTAGTGTAACATCACAACTATTTAAATTAAATAGAGATTCAAGAAAGTAAAACACACAGCGAGACATACACTAGCTGTGACTAGGAAACAGTAAACCGCTATGTGTGGTGCTGGCCAAATGAATACTTGTAAATATGACATTAGACTACACGTGAGCAATGAGAAAATATCATTTGGTAATTTGGGGAAAAAAAAAGAAGCAAATTTTGTCTGTGGTTGCAGTAATTCTGAGTTATATTCCAATATATACCATTAGACAATAGAGTTCTACCATGTTTTTAATTCAGTGAGTTAGTCAAAGGCAGACGTTTCCAGTTTTATCAAGAGATAGATTTTTTAATTGAATTTCCAAGAACTGTACAATTTTATAGACTATAACATAAAATAATTAGTCCATAATGCCAAGCATATAAAAGCAAAATACTTGCCCTGAATCAAAACTTAAAAACTAGCATTTTTACCATTAAAACACCAAAAATAAAACATTTTTCGGTAAAAAAAAAAAGGAAAATGTCGTTAAAACTTGCTTTTTAAGTCTTAAATAAAAACAAAAACAATTAAAATTAGGTTTAGGAATAAGACGGCATATCAGCTTGAGCTCAGTGAATAAAAAATATCTGGTTTGCTTCTGTGATTAAAGGATAACAATGAAAAACTAACGAAACTAATAAATGTGTATTTTATTTACATTTGTTTAAGCCGTCGCAGTGAACCAGAGCAGGTTTACCCAATCATTTCCTGTCAAGCAGAACTCCCATAGCAAATTCAAGACTCTTTTTTTTTTTTACTTGTGTTGGTTTTTGGCAGGGGTGTCCAAACTTTTTTGAATGGGGGCCAGATAAAATAATGTGAAAATACCTGGGGGCCAACTGATTCTCTCATCAAATGGGTTTAAAAAAAAAGTGGGACAAATGCAACCATTTTTATCTTTTAATGATTTATAACTTTATATTTATAACTACCTGATGCCTGTCTACAAACTGTATGATAGTCCTATCATTGTGAAGTGAAAGGTAAAAATGCGAAGTGATCTTGCTCGATTAACCTTTATTGTGTAAAGGGCCACATATGGTATATTTTGAAAGTCAAGCCGAGGGCCAATTAAAATTGGTCTGCGGGCCACAATTGGGCCCTGGGCCAGACTTTGGACAATGCCTGGTTTATGGCGATCTGTCATAGAGGTCGACACAGTTTACTATGCTTCTCTGAGACTTGTTACCAGTTGTAAAGCTCTTACCCCTCACTGTGAGTTATGGTCTGCTCTGGCCATCCTGTCATTGGTGCACTTTATATATAAGGCAATTCTTGGACTGCTCTCATATGTGTCTTTATCAGGCAGAAAAGTGTCAGACAATACTCTTTGCAATTTCATTATGCTAACAGTTCCAAATGCCCTATGGAAATTGCAAAAAGTGTGTTTATGTATTCTGCCCCCTCGGCATACAATATAATGCAGAATGAATGAAACTCATGAAATTAATCTCGTTAAATGCTTTAATTCCAGAATGAAAGGTCATAGATTCTGTAAGATGTCAATGTTTTTAATTTACCTGGTTACATACTAACTCTTTTC